AAACATATCAATACGATCATTCTAGTAAAAAGCAAGAACATGAGCCACTATTGTGCACAAGTTATTTTTATATAATCAAATGCAATGTAGAGTATGAAAACATTATGCAGCATGCATCGCCTATCAGCTTCTTGATCTTGTCTGATTGCCAAAGTACAAGCAGCAAGACACAACCATATTGCAATGCTTCAATGGGCAACTGAAAGGAAGTGGGCTCAAAATGTGAAGATCTTGAAACTAGCATGCCTTCGTGGCCAACTTGGATCAAGCATGATGTGGGTCAAGTCACAAAAAGGGGCATCTAACTGACAAATACAGCAATGAGACCCAGTCTACCTCAAGGTGGTCCACCCTGTTTGGTCCCTGGATGGGAAGGCTGTCCCAACAACTGAACAGAATCTATTCATAAACAAACTTGATGTACACCCCCCACCACACACCTACACAAATTGTGTGTAACGTTTGTATATCATTTATATATACATGTTGACAATGTATGTCATGTAGTTCAATTTATATGTATAATATCATAATATTTAATGCTATGTAGTATTTGATATCCTCTAATGTTGTGTAACATTGTGCACCGTCATTCATGTCGTAAATTCATGCAATGATATGCAGTCTCATGCACTCTTGTGAAATCTTCCGAAATGGTTCTATGTGTAGTGTTGATCGTTTCGATGGGTTTCAGGTGCATTATCAGACAATGTTATGTGATCTTATGTAGAATGATATAATGTCATGGAATGTAATGCAATATCATGAAATGTAATGCAATATCATGCAATGTGATATGCAATATAGGTGTACAGCAACAGAATGGAGCGGCACCTGGTGTAATATCGCGTACTGTAAATAGTCGAAACATGCCGTAAACTATACATATATATATAACAATATATAACAGTAATTAACAGTATGGGTAACATATCTATCAAAATTGTCTACACCTATACCATCTATCTTGTATCCTTTGTCCAACGACTTTATTACCTCCACCCACTTGAGCCATCTTTGACTGCCACCAGCTGCCTGTTGCCCTTGCCATTCAAGGCGAATCTGGATCGATGCCTCCGAACCTCTGACTGCTCAGCTTTTTCCTGACGAGGATCGTCTGCTGGTTAGTACCGGGCTGCTGGTGGTTAGTGACCCTTGGGGATTGCACATGAATAGAATATAATAGAATAATATGAGAAAATCATGTGAAGTTGAAAACAAATGTGACAAATGATTCAAGACACCAAAGAGTATCCTGCATTGCAAATCGCATGGAGATCTTTTACTCAATGAGTTGCAAGTGTGGTCAATAATCTCAAAAACAATACTAAGAGCAATGCAGGACAGTAGTTTCAATGAGTGCCTGGGATTTACGAAGCATAAGACATGAGATTGGGACCTATGAAAATACAGTTCTCATTTCAGAAGGTGCCTATGTAATTCCAAGATCCATCCAAGGTATGATGATGGGGGATGTCACAAAATAGCACTGCCCCAATTTTAACGCCATGTTGATACGTCGGCCATATCGTTTTTTCTCAAGAAATTTGTGCTGCGTTGGATCAATGTCTGGAGGTACCTTCTCCTCATATTCTCCCCATGTTCTCTTTTTGTTCTCTGTTCCTGCTGTTCTCCTTATTATTGTTTCAACATGTTCTCAATAGTTTCTCCCTAATTGTGTATTTTGTTCGTACGTTATTCCTATTCTCTCTATGTTCTTCCTAGTATGTCCTTGCCCTTATCTTCCCCCTATGTTCTTCCAATTCTTGCATTCTCGATATGTTCTTCTCGTTGTAAGGATTCTTCTCTCTTTTCCATACCGATTGTAGCAACTGGATAAAACCAGGAACCCAATGTGTCACAATATGGATATTTAATGATTTTCATTGATACAGTATGTAATTCTCATTACTGTAGTTATTCTCGTTTGCAAGCTTTCCTTCACCGGCAGACCGGGTGTAAATGAGTTGTTGGTGTCCGCAGGAGAGTGACTTGCCTCCTGGGATCATTGTTCAAAGACGGATCAAATCAGTTTAAAGCTGATGTGGAATCATGTTGCATCATTTGTTTTTTCTTATCGGATAACATTGGTCATAGTGAACCCCCATGTAAGCATACGCTATGATATATTATGATATTGAGTTGTAGGTTGCTTTATGTTGCTTTGTATCGGTCCACCTGATCTCGGAGCTACTAGCTACGGCTATCAAATATAGCCATTTTTAATTATCATTGCTTTTATCATAGCGGCAAACACAATATTTTCAACGAGCGGCAAACAGTTCCAAGTCCCAATCATCGTACATGCCTTGAGCCGCGCAGATTCAGTCGGGCTCCAGAGTGGGGGTACCATGGGTGAAATTCCGACAATGAAAATAGAACAATTATGTATATCATCATACAATTTATGACATACGTATTTACTACTCATAAAAAATATACCTATCTATCTATCTATCTACCTATCTATCTATCTATCCATCTAATCTAATCTAATCTAATCTAATCTAATCTATCTATCTATCTAACTATCTCTATCTATCTATCTAACTATCTATCTGATCTGATCTAATCTGATCTGATCTAATCTAATCTAATCTATTCTATTCTTTTCTAATCTAATCATATCATATCTAATCTATCTATCTATCTGATCTGATCTAATCTAATCTATTCTATTCTAATCTAATCTATTCTATTCTAATCTAATCTAATCTGTCTATCTATCTATCTATCTATCTATTTATCTATCTATCTTACACTATATATACCATAGAGTAGCCATCAACAACGCTGACATATTCTACGTTCTAACATATAAACCAACCATCAGGGAGGTCACTGGGGTTTTGAATGAAATGACCAACGTCTTGCGTTTGCTACAGGAATGGGCAGGAACGGCTTGATGGTTGCTACATGTTGCTATCAACAAAATGCCAATTTGGAGTTAAACAGCTTCCAATCCTCCAAGCCAAGTAGGCTTTGTTCGAATAAAGAGTCAGCTTTCTGGAAGCGACAACTGGTCTTCACAACGTGAAACAAAACATATGACATATTGGCAAGTAGAATTACTATGAGCACCTGTAATCTGATCAATGATGCAAAGCGTTGTGCAGTTTAAATCAAACAAGAAAATTAATTCATGTTCATTTACGTGCATCCGAATAGAACGGCTACATGGTGTCAGTTCCTTTGACTCTTGCTCAAGACTCAGAGTCCTTGTATAGAATTTATCGCTGTACCATGCTGCACCTTTTCAATACTTTGTGGTTTGCAAGGTACTACACCCCACTGCCACAATAGTTTAGGCACCCGACAAGCCGCAGGCATTACAAGTAAGTCTACTCTGAAGCTTTTGGCAACGTTGGAAAAGAATATCAGGGAATTAACACACGATTCTAACTCGAGACCCTCGGACCGAAGATCATTCTTGAGTAATCTTGAGTATATATAAATTGAATTAAATTGATAGAGTAAATCTAAGCATTCTCATAGCATTCTCTAATGCAAGCAAACAAAAGACAACGATGAGCCCTTGGCGGCACTTGCTGCTCCTAAATCCAAGTCTCAGCAGGAGACTGTACTGCAGGGATACATAATATATCATAAATTATCATAATATGATATTCATTGATATGCTATGATTCTATATCACAATGATGACTGTCACAATGAACCCTGGTTATGATTCCCTTGGGATTTACGAGCTCCTTCCGTCCTTGTCTTTTGTTTATGAAAACGAGCAGCTGAATACAGCATTCGTTGGCGTAAAGGATGGTGACCCAACCTTTGGCCGAGCCGGGCCAGTCTCGAACCAAACCGATCCGCTATTTTAGGCTCGGCAGTTTCAATCAGCCTGAAACATGGAGTCGAAACTACGTCATATCATAATCATAGTTCACTGGGCACAAACATATTATAATAGTACAAAAAAAGTTCTCGCCAATGAAAGCAACATATGTTGGACATTGTTGGACCCCTTCCATCATGCTTCCATCATGCATCCGTCATGAACCTGATTGATGTCCAGAACAATTCTATGTAGGCAATTGAACCACAGCAACCAGCAACAATGCACATTGTTCAGCACCTGCCTCGGGGTATAGATGTGCCGGGAGATCATCATCATCTGACATATCCTGCGATGTCGCAGCTGCAAATGACTGCGTACTTAATGCTAAAATTATCAAAATTGGCATCCGACCGATCGAATGATGGATTGTAACCCCAATGTGGACCAAGGGGTGGCATATCTCCAAAATGCAACTGTGGTCACTGCCCCTCTCCCTGAGGGTTCCTCAAGATTCCAATCAGAAAATGGTGCATCTTTTTGACGCCACAAATCAACGAGAGAGAGACCCACAATGTCGAAAAAACTCCGAACGGACAAGTCAGAATGATGAACCAACTCAAATCACCGCGTTTTTTCACCAAACGGTGAGGTGTCCGTGCCTGGAGATCATAACAAACATTCATTGAGCTTGTCGCCTTCACAGAGTCCAACTTACTGCTCAAGGCCTCCTGACGCCGCTAAATGGGATGAACTTCACCTTTTTGGGTGGCTGAATCACCCAGGGATCCCAGGACTCAAAAAGAACCAGAAAAAGATATTGTCAACGTTGATCATCATCTTTCGGTAAGATGAATAGTTAGGCACAGAGATTCAAAAAGACCTAAACAAAAATGCTAGATTTGCTAGATGGTTTCAACCTCACCAGGTGCGACCCAAATGACCGATCAAACAATCCGGACCAATCAGCTCATCATCTTATGCAGGTATCAAAGGAGGAATAAAGCGACAGTGTACTTGGGGTACGCATGTACTGCACCATAGTCTTTAGATCCCTTTCCAAACCTGTACATTTCTTTTTTTCTTCTCATCCAATTCTGGTCTTATCCTGTGTTGGGTTGTGTTAAGACTCAAGACCCTGTACAACCCTTCTGGAAAATCTCTCTTTGGATCGCTTGCCTGTTCAACTCGAATACACACTGCCTTTCTCTTACCGGCAAAGCATTGGCATTGGCTGCGAGGACGCGACATCAACCCATCGACCCATCGACCCCCCTTTCCGCTCCGAGACGGTGGACACAGTGTGGCTCATGGAGCGTCCCACATCACCTGGCACCAGGTGTCGCCGGTCATGACGGTCATGACGTTGGATTGATCATGCGAGGGTGAGAGCCCTTGTAACACCCACACTACGGGTAGATATTAAACATAGTTATCATAGTTATACATCATTATACGGTATACGTGACACAAGAAGAGTCGACTATTTCCTCAAAATTATGGCCCGGGACAGATCATTTTTATCTGGTTGGCGGTTTCAATCCTGAAAACTATGCTCGCCATTGGAGATCATCCATCCCAGGAATATATATACACATACTATCATATAATATACTGCATTATACTCCCACACATACTCCCCTAAATGTTGAAACCACCAAGCAGATATGGCTTGCCCATTGGTGGCCTCTGCATCCCATGAAATCATGGCAAGACACTGGCTGCTGATTTTCTGCTGAGAAGCTCCCGCAACATGGTTTCCTGCCTTGGCGAAGGGTACCACATGGTACCATCATGGCGAATCTCATGAAGCTGCGTATGATGGTCACTCATTATCACTTTGTTATCACTTTGTTATACTTTATCTCGCTTTATATCCATCTATGACAACAAAAGATTGAGGTATTCAACAGACGATATATATATATATATAATATATAATTCTATATCTATCCAAGGTTTGGCCAGGAAAGTGATGTACGTTGTGGACCCTATCCTCCCCCATCAACAACATGAGCATATGGAACCTAGCCAAATGGAATCAACTCTGATGCGCTCGAGTTGTAACAAATCTGTGAGTTCGGCTTCTACAGGCTTCTACCCATGTATGATCATCTATGGGTGGCAAGAAGTCTGAGATGCTAAGAAACCACCGGTCATGAGGTAATGTTCAGTTTCTTTTAGTTTGAAATATATTGAAATATGGACATTGGGGATATCAGCAGAGGCAAGAGGTAAATCTGTCCATGTCTTCCGAACGCCCACACTGCCGTGCGGCCCGTCCAAACGGAGCATCATATCCTTAGACGTCGACGTGACCAGATCACAGGTGGCTGGGCTGTCATAGGTCCAATTGGGTTCAATGTAACCTCACCTTGGGTCATGCATGTCTTCTCAGTATCATTCAGTATCTTGGGACAATTCTCATTCCAATGGTTTAGTGGATGGAGGACTATCTGATTTCCACTCACATGTACTCAAAGGTACCAGAAGGGACCATATTATGGGACCAGAAGGTACTGTACTGAACACCAAATCATCCTGCTCCCCACCGAAATCCACAAAAATAGCATCCTTCCGCATTTTCTCCATCATGGTCTTCAGGTCAATCTCATCCAGCTTTTGGATACCCGGCAAAGACTCCCCTGGCACGGCCGGCTGCAGTTTTTCTGTCTACCCCAAAGGTTTGGGTTGATTTTGGGTACGTACAAGCAATGACCATCAAAGATCATCAAACATCTTTCATCCCAAAGTTGGAAAAAAGTCTTCATCTGAGCCGCACCCGACAGATCCAACGGTTCTTTTCGGCACCCGGCCTTGGCCTGTCTGGCTTTCGAGTCTTCCGAGGGACTCATGGTTTCCATTCATGAAGGGCTCAACTCGGCAGCTGGGCAGCGGCATCTCCACTGGCCCATCCTCCTGTGGAATGTTTGCACAGACGACAGACCACATGACCCAAAATACAACAGATATCAACAGATGATCCACACAGATCCTGGCGATTTCTTAACATCAACAAATCAGTGGTTGGGGAGCTCCACATTGAATGCTGTGAAAATCATGCCGGCTTCAAGGGATTTCACTGCAGTCAACCTTTGATAGTGAGCTTTTAGACTGTGGCCTGAATGGCATCTGAAATCGATGACTTCCACGGTCTCATGTCGCGGTCCATGGCGAACATCAAGTGAGGCAAAACTTAATGAAGTTTCATACAAAAGTGGAGCAACATGCAGATGCTTGCCCTTCGTACCCAGTAGCTGGATGTAGTTGGCAGAGTTATGGTCGGTCTTGGAAGATCACTTAGCAAGATGAGTTTACTCGATCCTACCCCAAGCTTGAAATGATCGAGCCTCCGAGCACCTGTTGATTTCCTGTTGCGAATTTCCGACGTGTCGCATGCTTCGCAGTTCTCAACTGGTTAAAACCTAAATGCCCGCGCCACAAGAGGTTACAAGAGGAAAGGCCAAAGGGTAATGATCATCATCGTGATGATGATGATGATGGTGGTGGTGGTGGTGATGGTGGTGATGGTGATGATGATGATGATGATGATGATGATATTGGCTAGTTTAAATACAGGTGTAGATTTATAAACTTTTTATATTCTATATATCATGTTAAATAATCAGTGTTACATAAATGTCTGTGCGTTTGACTGGCGATGATGACTACACACCTGCATTCACACACATGCAGTAGCGAACGTGGAGGATGATCACCAGGACTTCGTCAACCATAAGGGGCTAAAATGATAGTACATGATAGTACCATGAAGGAACATGTGCAACAACTTGCCTTCCCAACCCTAGAAGGACAGCATGTGTTTTTTCTTCCTCTCGGTTGCGCCGGTTGTGGCTGCAGGGTCTGGCGGGAGCATTGTGATTAAATCACCTTTCGCAAAAGAGAAACCCATGGATTCAGGTCTCCACTTTCGAGTTCACCAAGCCAGTCATGAGAGTTGCAAACCCGGGTACTGTAGTGCTTGCAATCAGCAGTGTTGATGGATATCATAGATATTGATAGTATAAATGATAGTGTAAATGTCCCAGGATTTCGGACTGTCCGGCTTGGGTAAATTATAATTCTGGGAAGGTTGGAGTGCGGCGCACTGAGGTCCAACAATTCGTGGACTCCAGGAAGATTGTCCACAGATCGAACCTATCAGAGCAGTATCTGGTATACGAGTGATTCCATGCGCCTGTGCATGTAAGTATAATATACTATAATATGAAAATGCATGAATGTCCAAGATATGTTGATGTGTGTTAGAAAACCTGATAATATGAATCATGTAAAACATGCGCCTCCTCTTTGCAATATCGAGTCCACTTCCAGTGGGTAAGCCGCACCCGCATTCGCGGGTCGGGGCCGCTGGCAAAGCTCATGGGTCGGGGAAAGCAAACCCACAGGGACAGTGAGACTAGTTGGACTAGTTGGACTAGTTGGTGGTTTCAAGCCCGAAAAACTATCCGAACATATGATACATCATTTGTATTAATATTATTCATATCATTTTATATCATTAAAATTGGGATCATTATCATCATTATCAAGGTATTAGAGTGGAGAATAACCTATATTTGAAACCACCAACCAGATCCAAACATAAATCAGAAGAGTTCTCAAGGCCCCGATGACCCATGTGACCCGAATCTTCTCCGAAACAAACGTGTTGGCTATTCGTTGTGAGAACTGCCGGCCTGGCTGTTAACCTAAGTCCACAAGGAGAGTCAAAGGATCTTCCACTGAATCTCCCCAATATGGGCTCCTCCATATAAGGGAAGCTTAGAACCTTTTTAAGGTGCAGTCTCCATCTAGGCCATGTTTTAGCCCCTTCAGCCAACTGCAAGAAGTTCAATCAACTCTATTTTGATCCGTTTCGTGGTTTGTGATGGGTGAATCATTTCAGATAACATTCATCTGCAAGTCCAACAGAAACATATGGTTTAATTTCGCCCGAGTGTTGGGGGCCTACCTTTCAGCGGGATGATCCTTAGGTTGCATTTTAAGAAAACTTGGGACACCCAGCCCTCCAACGGTGACCAACCAAAACCAGGTGGCACTATCAGGAAAGGACGGAATCTGCCCAGTGGCCGAAGCGATGAGCTCCTGGAATTCGGACTGTTCAATTCTGGGCGTGTAACGTTCAGACTATACATTAAATGCGTTTCGATGCATATTTTCTATAGTCACAAAAGCAACGCTCTTGTTCCAAACTACCGATCTAAACGTTTGCGCAGGCATCAGGAAGTTTGCATTGGGCAGAATCTTGATCGAATGGAAGAAGGTTTGAAACACAATTCGTGCAGAGCGAGAGTGCTGCAACGAAGAATCTGTTGTTATGGTTTCCGTCGTTTCATTGGGATTCTTCACCGTTTCATTGGTTTTTTTCACTGGTTTCGTCGGGCTTCTTTTCGCCGTTCAAAAATCCACAACAAGCTGAAACATCAGAACTAAACCAGACTACCGACAAATGAGGTGCCATTTGTTGCTAAGAGTTTGATGCAACACATGAAACTACCTAGAGGAGTGTATGCTTTGATTTTGTGTAGGCTGGGGGTGATTTCCCAGCATGTCTTTCATTTGGGATTGAAACCGATGGTCTCTTGGAATACGTTTGTATACGTTTGTGCTCATCCTGCTCTTCCAGTTCTCAACGCGAGCATTTACAGCGGAAAGACATGCTAGCTTGTACTCCAACGTTGATAGAAAACACAAGAGAGAGAGAGAGAGAGATCAACAAAACAGCAAAAAAAAACAAGACTGAAAAGCTGCTCGGAGTCAATAGTTAATGCCGGCAGCAATGAATCATGAAAAAGCAACAAGTTTGCAGCCCTGAAAACACAAACTGTGGAGTTCTCCTGGATTCGACGTAGTTCCACTTCCTGGGCGAAGCACTTGAACCCCCGAAACACCAAACATCACCAGACTGGATTCTGTTGGCTGATAGATCACGCCATCACAAAGTGGAACGGATGCGAACGGGTATTTTGCCTCAGCCATCTGTGCATATAGTAAAGGAGTGCATGTAGAATAATTATATTAAACCTTTTTTTTCATGATATATAATATGCAGATAAAACTATATTATATAATATATATGTTGACTTGTAGCTCTACAGTGAGAGCATTGTGAAGTCATCCGGCCCTCAGCCAGGATTCCTTCTGTCACGGCAAACTGAAACCTGTGCACAACCATCATTGTCTTACTAGCATTTAGTTTCCATTCAAATTCAAACAATCACAACCTAGAATATTGTTCGGATCAAAACCATCACTGAAATGTCAGTGTGTGTGTGTGTGTGACAGCATCTCTTGAAATTTAAAGGTTGAAATTCAATGAATTTCACCTAGTTTTCTCTGGATCAAATGCATGATTTGTTGGTAATCTATGGCAATGAATTTCATTGGCAACGAACCAATCTTGCGATCTACAGGACTCAGTGCATGCAGGGTCTGCAAAATTGTGCGAATTCGTAAGCATCATACTCCTTTTTCCCATGTGTCCTGCCAATGGATGAAACCCTTTACTAGATTGAAAGAGGACCATCCTCGAAACAGAAACATATTGGAAATCAAAAAAACATTAAAAAAAAAAAACATGGGTAGCATTGCGCAGCATATTGGGTCTGGGAATGTTTGGGACACAGAATCTCAAAAGATCTTTGTCTATCTTTGTCCAAGTTGCGACCCATGTTTGGAACTTCCTGAGCTGGGACAAGGGAGAGAAACCCTCATCGGGGTGGTTGCTGGGGACTGGTTGGTGCTTAAAATCATTTCTGAACTGGCTCGGGGGCCACATGGGCTAATATATGTCATGTACTGTCATGTCATTCAGTATCAATCCACACTTATTATGCATTTTGCTGCACACGGCGGAATAATTACTCAATACTAGTTAGTGTTCTGCACTTGCGTAAAAGCGACCATGTTTGATGGAATTTAGAGCTTCCAACCCTGGGACCTGCACCGTTGACATGGACATGGCAAGCCATGCTTTCGAAATCAACACTTGTTGCTTTTGCTGTTGGGTGTCGGTGGGATATTCACACCAACCACCACAAAAAATACAACGGCAATCCAGAGAAAATGTGGCGGTTTATCTCAAAAACTGGTGGTATATTCACCAATGCAGCGTCAATCCACCCCCAAAAATGCGCCAGGCATCCCCTGGTTTTTGATGAGCCATGTCTGATCCTCGGAGATGACGAATGGATGGCGTCTCGTCATTTTTTTTTCATTGCCGATCTTTTGCATGGCAACCTAAAATCAACAATGCCGTTTTCAGTGTTATGTTTTTATTTGCTGGCTATATCTGGTCTGTCCTTTTCACAAACGCAAACTCCTGCTGTGCCTATGAACGGCCGCTTAGACCGAACAAACACTACTGCCGAATCAACTGTCAAAATACAAAAGACCAGTGAAATTGTTGCGTTTACAGCACATTACCAGGTCAGAAAATACATAAACATCAATAATATATACAGTGTATATATATATAATATAGAAATACAATGAAATACATATTATACATATATATATATATATACACATTGTATATATAATTGCATGCATTTGGAACCTGACCTCTATCGCCCATACATAAGTTTGTCATCAGTCTGCAAAATTGGAACTGGGCTCATCTGTGCTATGGACAAATATGGACAATCTCTGCAGCCAAAGCACATGGATGATCTTCCCGATATCAATGGCACGCGCAGTTCCTCTCAGGCGCAAACAACCCATCAGGAACTCCTGCGCAGGCCAGACATTTGTCACGGATCTCGCATATCATTTGACATGCTCAAATCCCTGCGTAAGGCCAAGGGTGTTTGGATTTTCGAAAACAACAATTTCAAAGCCTTAAAAACCAAATTCCCGAAACCGTAAAACCTAAATTATCCTGGAAGCATAAAGTTAAAATCACTCAGTTTTGCACAGTCTAGCTATTGTTTTCGTTCATATATTCCTCTGCTGACATGTACATATTGTTGTTTGGGTGTAAGATTTGGGGAGTGGGGGAACGTCTGGTCTGGCACGAACTCCTCTATCTCTACATCTCCACCATCCTCGGGCACCCGAGCAGCGTTTCAAGATGGCCACACAAATCTCAAGCGGTGTGACCATAGACAGATTATTCATGCAAATTGCTCAATGCACCAAGCTACCCCATGCTTAAAA